TTAAATGAACGCAAATGAAGGAAAAAACAAACAACTTTTATGGGAAAAACAGTTGCCTAGGAACAACCTCTGCTAAACCTGATTGCACCCCACCCGCCAGATCCAAGACACACGCGCACATGTGCAGACACACACAAACACCCACACACACACATACGTATACTCTCACGCAAATACACGTATGCACATGCACACTCATAGACACGCACACACACACACACACACATACACACGCTGTTGCACACTTTTAGAAACACATATACATACACACGCACATACACACACACTCATACACACTCATACACACTCATACACACTCATACAAGCATTCACACACATGCACATACACAATCACGCGCACATATTTACCCGCAAACACACCTACACATCCGCAGACACACGTACACACACATACGTACAGAACACACACCCACCCATAGAAGAACACTAACAGCTCGCGCCATGGGAGATAAGATCAGATGCTTCAAGAAAAAGTTATGATTTTTCCACACTGTTTCTAAGCAACACGTCCTCTGTTTTCTTGTCTTGGCCTGACTGGAAATTAAAAGTTTGAAAGTGAGAAATTTAGCTCACCGCAAAAAAAAAACTTTGATGCCATTTAGAAGTCATAAAATTATTAAACTATTTCAGATGCGTCTGTATTCTGATATCCATAAGAAATGTATATTGAGTTAGAGAATACTCAAAATGGGCTTGAAAAACATTTGAGGAATATTTCTGTTTGTGACATAAATGAAAGGAACCGTATGTGAGATATTCTTTATTACAATAACATCATAAATTGTATTTGACAAATAGCTATGCTGTTGCGTTCCTAATTACACAAATATGCCATAATTAACACATTGTTTATGTTAAGATTTATAGTTATGGTTCTTATTTTGGTCAATTGTTTGATTGATAACATATTACATTCACTGACTGTGTTACAAAAAAATTCTTTGGTGAAATCCAGTGTGTTTGGTATCTACCGAACCCTCAACACCAGCAGCGCAGGACTCTCCTTATAACGTTGATATTGTGGAACATTTTTAAGACTATAAGAGCGCAGTCCACAGGACCATGTATGAGTGTAGACTTCAGCTGTACATGGTACAATCTCAAACACCTTTCTGCTCAAGTGCACTAAAATGTGCATACATTACTATAATCATTACCTTGCACACACGTCTTCCTCTGCACATTCCTTACAAGGAAAAGGCTACAAAGGCAGTGCACAATGAAAACAGATGGCAACCTATATTTACATTGGCAATGTATCTTTTTACATTTAACCATTACTCTCTGATGGGGCTCGGTTGGCACGGCAACACATTCTGCTGGTCTGTTGTTCCATGACTGAATCGCAATGGTCCACATCAGTCTCCTTATCGCTGCATCGTCTCAGAAAAAAATGAAAACAAAAACATGGCTTAGATTATGAAGCCATTCAGTGTCAGGCCATTGACAGCTCCCTGGCTCTATCTCGAGCCCCACGTCCACAATCAATTTACTAGCACACTGACCAGCCGCAGCTAAAATCAATCCCATGTTGTATTTGAGCCTTGTCAGATTACCAGGCCTAATCTGCACTGAAAACAAATTACTTAAGTACGGAAAGTTCTCTAAGCCGCCCAAATTAGACAAGTTTGAAATGCATTGAAAGAAGGAACAAAATAAGAGACAAAAGAGGAGACATGAAAAGAAGTGAGCTGTGATTGAAATGTGGGGATGATAGCAGGTACAGTTCATTAACCATTTTGCGTGAGCCTGCTGTGAAGCAATGAGGAAGAGACAACACGCTGAGGCGACACTGGAGCCATCGCTGGACACAGGGCAGAGGAAGGAGGCACTGTTTTTGGATTTGATTTGTATCTAACTGAGATCAATGATAATATCATTCTCTGGTGTTTTTTTCTTTTGCAGTTCTTTCTTAGGTTGTGTTAACCATAGGTGATTATATACAGTGCCTTGCGAAAGTATTCGAATACTTTCGCAAGGCACTGTATATAATCACCTATGGTTGATTGAACCTTTCAACATTTCGCCACATTTCAGGCTTCAAACATTAAGATATAAAATTTTAATTTTTTTGTCATGAATCAACAACAAGTGGGACACAATCGTGAAGTGGAACAAAATTTATTGGATAATTTAAACTTTTTTAACAAATAAAAAACTGAAAAGTTGGGCGTGCAATATTATTCGGCCCCTTTACTTTCAGTGCAGCAAACTCACTCCAGAAGTTCAGTGAGGATCTTTGAATGATCCAATGTTGTCCTAAATGACTGATGATGATAAATAGAATGCACCTGTGTGTAATCAAGTCTCCGTATAAATGCACCTGCTCTTTGATAGTCTCAGGGTTCTGTTTAAAGCGCAGAGAGAACCATGAAGACAAAGGAACACACCAGGCAGGTCCGAGATACTGTTGTGGAGAAGTTTAAAGCCGGATTTGGATACAAAAAGATTTCCCAAGCTTTAAACATCTCAAGGAGCA